TAAAATTTAGTTGAAAAATCCACGCTTAGCGTGTTGAATGGGGACTTCAAAATTTATTTAAAAAATCCACACATAGAGTACTGTGTCAGGACTTAAAAATTGTTTCTAAAATCCGCACTTGTAGTTTTGATAGTGGCTTCAAATTTAAGTTTTAGTTTTTTAATTTATTTTTTAATTTATTTTTTAATTTATTTAAAGATTCTCGCTTATAGGACGGAATCAGGGCTTGAAAATTTGTTTAAATAAGCACGATTTTAAATCTGAGTTAATTTTTTTCTGCGCTTATGTGCATCAATTAGCTCTTCAAAATTAAAAAAAAAATCGTACCTTCAAAAGTTATTGAGCTTAAAGACTTGGGCTTCAATCATTCTTTTAAAAACACTCGCCTTTATAAATTAGCCCAATGTCCAAGCTAATTAATCGTTATTGTTAAGATTTAAGGGCTCAAGTCCTTAAGTGACCGACTAACTCACCTTGTCTTCACTTATTACCTGATATGAATAAAAGCAAATTTGTAACCTTCGCGAAGCTATTTTGCGTGTTATCATTACGTCAGCTTGGTTTTGTTTTTCTAAATTAATTCAATAAACCATTTTCACACTACACTTTCTTCCGGTGCATACAGACAGATATACGTGATATGGACAAATCTCACACACTCACATACAATGTGTGTGTTTTGGACACACACACAATGTGTGTGTCTCTACTAGGTTATGGAATAAATAACAACTAAAAGCTTGAGAAAAAAAGTAAAAAAGAAAAAAATTGGTTACTGTCAAATTTCCGACACATCCTGTAGACTATATCCACCATAACAACAACACAAATAAAAAAACCAAAAACTACTACTAAACCCCTAACAAAAAAGTACATTCACATATCACATGCTATGTGTTTTTTTTCTCCTCCTGGTTTTGCTTTCAAATCGTAAAGCATTTTGCCAACTAGCCATTGTCGTTTTCATGTTGAATTCTATACCCCCTGCTATACTTCTATGTGATTTTTAGTTGTCGTTGTTGTTGTTATTGTGTGACATTGTCATGCCCTCCTGTATCCCCTTCTAAATACATTTAGACTTGAATATTCATTTCTAACAGCAAGAAAAAAACGAAAATCGGACATTTCAACAAAAACAAAACAAAACATTTTAAAAAATTCTAGTTTCTATATCAAATCCGACTTTTTTGTGTTACACGCTACCCCCGTTGTTATTGTTGTTGTTCTTCTTCGGTGTTAGTGTGTTTTTGTTTTGTCCACAGTACACATATCTCTCGTAACTAGCCTAGTGGGTCGAAGTGTCTGTCAACTACAATGGCCACATCTAATGTTTTCAAAAATAGACAAAAAAGTGAAGCAGCAAAAACAAAAAATCCAGAACTCAGATCGAGTGTGCCCATACCGGCGAAATATTTTATATGTTGAACGATGCTTTCGCTTATGGTCATATTGCATATGGATGAATGTTTGTATGCGGTTACAACAGCATGAGGTTCGAATGAGGCCAAGGCAAGGGAATATAAAAATAACCACTTCTGGCACAAGAATCTGGGTTTGAAAATTATTTTTGGAAATCCTCGCTTATAGGCCCGAATCTAGGTGCAAAAAATATTTTAAAAGTCCTCGCCTATAGGCCCGAATCTGGGCTCGTAAAATTATTTTAAATATTCTCGCCTATAGACCAGAATTTCGATTCCAAAATTATTTTAAAAATCCATGCTTAATGGCCAGCATCTGGGTTTAAAAATTTATTTAAAAAATCCACGCTTACAGGCCAGAATTTGGGTTTAAAAATGTACTTAAAAATCCCGGCTTATAGGTTTTAAAATATATAAAAAACAAAAACATCCACACCTATAGGTCAGAATTTGGGGACTAAAATGCATTTTAAAAATCGGCGTTTAGGGACCAGAAAATTGATTTCAATATTTATATAAAAATCCACGTTTAGGGACCAAGATATGGATTTCAAAATTTATTTAAAAATCCACATTTATAGACCAGTATATGGGTTTCCGAATTGATTTAAAAAATCCACACTTCTGAATTAATACCCCAACCCGATGCTGTTATTGACCATACCGTTGACTTCACATTCGTGTACACATATCCATCCATTCATCCTGTAGATACAATGTTTAAAGCTGTGATATATCACATAATGGTTTGTTAGGGACATGTGTCAACCTAGACTATTGTTGTCTCTGGATATCTCTTTGTCAGTGTATTTATCTTTTTGCGTCTGGTTTACACTGAAAAAACAAACAGTGTATGGGTATGAGTGTGTGTGTGTTTGTGTTAGTATGGGTTTCGATTTTTTTCTTTGTTTGCTTTTCTCAGTTAGTTTGCATTGTTTTATTTTAAGCTCCAAGTTAGGTTTTTAAGTTATCGTATTTTGTTACAAAATGTTTTTGTTCTGCATTCTTTTGCAGTGCGTTAGTGCGGGATTTAAAGACAAATTTCGGTTATGTTCGAATCAAGAGGTTTAGAAACGTTTTATGGGAATATTGACTTATTTTTCTTTGGGTATTGGATTTTGGAACATGGAAATATATATAGATAATCGTGGATTTTTATAATTAATTTTGGACCTCAGATTTTTGTCTATAAGCTTGAATTTTTAATTTGAGACCTATATTATGGCCCAATTTTGGGACCTATATTATGGCCCATAAGCGTGGATTTCTTAAATTAATTTTGAAACCTATATTATGGTTCATAAGCTGGGATTTTTTAAATAAATTTTTAAACCTATATAATGATCTATAAACGTGGATTTTCTTTTAAATACATTTTCAAACCCGTGTTTAGGGCCTTAAGATTGATTTTTTTAAATAAATGTTGAAACCTTTGTTATGGCCAATGAGCGTGGATTTTTTAAATAAATTTTCAAATCTGTATTCAGGCCCTTTAAGCTTGAATTTTTTAAATAAATTTTGAAACTATGTTATGTTCTAAAAGCGTGGATTTTTTTATTAAATTTTGAAACCTATATTCAGACCCTTAAGCGTGGATTTTTTAAATAAATTTTGAAACCTATATTCAGGGCCTTAAGCGTGGATTTTTTTTATTAAATTTTGAAACCTATATTCAGACCCTTAAGCGTGGATTTTTTAAATAAATTTTGAAACCTATATTCAGGCCCTAAAGCGTGGATTTCTTAAATAAATTTTGAAACCTATATTCAGGCCCTAAAGCGTGGATTTTTTAAATAAATTTTGAAACCTATATTCAGGCCCTAAAGCGTCGATTTTTTAAATAAATTTTGAAACCTATATTCAGGCCCTAAAGCGTGGATTTTTTAAATAAATTTTGAAACCCATATTCAAGCCCTTAAGCGTGGATTTCATAAATAAATTTTGAAACCTATATTTAGGCTCTTAAGCGTGGATTTTTTAAATAAATTTTGAAACCTATTTTCAGGCCCTAAAGCGTGGATTTTTTAAATAAATTTTGAAACCTATTTTCAGGCCCTAAAGCGTGGATTTTTTAAATAAATTTTGAAACCTGTGTTAAGCGTGGATTTTTAAATAAATTTTGAAACCTGTGTTAAGCGTGGATTTTTAAATAAATTTTGAAACCTGTGTTAAGCGTGGATTTTTAAATAAATTTTGAAACCTGTGTTAAGCGTGGATTTTTAAATAAATTTTGAAACCTGTGTTAAGCGTGGATTTTTAAATAAATTTTGAAACCTGTGTTAAGCGTGGATTTTTAAATAAATTTTGAAACCTGTGTTAAGCGTGGATTTTTAAATAAATTTTGAAACCTGTGTTAAGCGTGGATTTTTAAATAAATTTTGAAACCTGTGTTAAGCGTGGATTTTTAAATAAATTTTGAAACCTGTGTTAAGCGTGGATTTTTAAATAAATTTTGAAACCTGTGTTAAGCGTGGATTTTTAAATAAATTTTGAAACCTGTGTTAAGCGTGGATTTTTAAATAAATTTTGAAACCTGTGTTAAGCGTGGATTTTTAAATAAATTTTGAAACCTGTGTTAAGCGTGGATTTTTAAATAAATTTTGAAACCTGTATTCAGGGTCTTATGCGTGCATTTTTAAATAAATTTTGAAACCTATATTCAGAGTCTTAAGCGTGCATTTTTTAAATAAATTTTGAAACATGTATTCAGGCCCTTAAGCGTGGATTTTCTAAATAAATATTGATGCCACGATTCTGGAGTATAAGCGTGGATTTTTTTAAATAAATATTAAAGCCACGATTCTGGTCTATAAGCGTGGATTTTTTAAATTAATTTTGAAGCCACGATTCTGGTCTACAGGCGTTTTTTTTAAGTTCATTTTTAAGCTAAGATTGGGGTCTACAGGCATGGATTTTTAAAAATAAATTTGAAGTCACGATTTAGGTCTACAGGTGTGGATTTTTAAAATTAATTTTGAAGTCATTAGTTTGTGTTCACAGTGTGGATTCTTAAAATTAATTATTAATTCAAGATTGAAGTCCACAGGTGTGGACTCTTAAAATTAATTATTAAGCCAAGATTCAAGTCCAGTGTGAATTTTTTAAATAAATTTTTAAGCCAAGTTTCAGGTCTACAGGTGTGGATTTTTAAAATTAATTTGAAGCAAAGATTCAGACCTACAGGTGTGGATTTTTAAAATAAATTTTTAAACATATATTCTGACTAATAAGAGTGATTTTTATAATACATGTTTAAACCTGTATTATTTAATTTGGTTATTTTTCATTCAATTTTAAATATTTATAGACTGAAGAATGTGATTTCATTCAAATAAATCCCTGAGCAAATATTTTACTTTCCCAAAAAAAAAAAAAAAAAAAAAAAAATCGAAATATTTATTTCTTAGAAATGTTATAAAATAAATTTCCAAATAAAAAATATATCTCTAAATTATTTACCATAAAATTTAAACAAACTGACGTTCCATTTTTCTTCTTTTTTTTGTATTTTTATCGACAGCTTTGCTGCGAATAAATCGCCCATAAACAATCTCACAGCACATAATCAATTTGATTGTACAAATGCAGTTAGCAGCAGCACTACTGCATCGCCTACATTAGCTCAACGTTTGGAAAAATTTCGCATTAAACGGCAACGACAGCAGCAACAAAACATCGATGAAAGCTTATCACCAAATTCAACGTCAGTTTATTGCGGCAATAAAACTACATTCGGAGAAAATTCAACGCCGTCATCATCATCGCCACCACTAGCACCACCACCGCTACTAAAATCCGATCAGCAGCAGCAGGGTATATTTGCAGCAGCACCCGGGTATTTATCAGCTGAACAAACACTCAAATTAAATAACCCCAACAATCAAGCGGAGCGTGGCGACCCCAAACGAGATACAAGTGTTGGTGGTACTGGACGAGAACGACAGCAAATTTTTACGAATTTGAATGGCTCCGAAACATTCGAACGACAATTGCCCTATATTCCGTTAAACCCCCAAGAATACTACAACAGCAACGACTTCCCCATACAACAAACAGAGTTCCTAAATACCAATAAAAAGAGCAACAACAAGAAGAACAGTAATTTCAACGAAAAGAGTGATTTTATTGAATGCCAAACAGCAGAGGAGGAGTATCAGCAGGAACAGGAAGAAGTGCCAAACAACTATTGGCAGCAAGAGTATAGCAACGCCAATGGTAAACGTGTCATAGTTCGACGACGTATTGTAAAAGCCACAACAAAATCATCACGCCGTAGTTTGTCACAAGACAAGGCACCGCGACTAAATACTGAAGCATCATCATCGGTATCCTCTGCTTCCGCCAAAGAAAAACGCTCTTGGTGGTCCTTCTATAGGAATTTTAAATCATCGGAAGCATCATCAACGCCTCCACCACCACCAGCATCATCATCTTGCAATAAAAATGCAGAGTTAGCCAGCATTCAATCGACTACTACCAAAACGAAAACTTTTAACATTCCTAAACCAAATAGAGATCTTCAACAGCAACATCATAATCATCGCCAGCAAAACGAAAATTTCATCATGGGCATGTTAAGGACTATGAAACTGAAAGAGCGCCTAGCGATAAGTCTGGGCGCCACACTCATTCTGTTAACCCTCCTGCTGGTGGTCGATGTCCAAATGGATTTCGGGGTAACGAATCGACATTTGTTGCCCGCCCAACAGACCATACATCAGCGGGTACGCTATGCTGATGATGGTAGTTTTATGAGAGATATTAAACGAAAGTTCCTGCAAAAAAGGTGAGTGAGAGAAATTAAATATTTTTAATATTTTAAATTAAAAATAAATTGTCAAACCGCCGATTTTTAAAATAAATAGTTAGATTCTGACCTATAGAGTGGGTTTTCATTTTTAAATCAAGCTATATCAAGGCCTATGAGAACGGGTTTTTAAAAATAAATTTTGAAACCTACATCAAGGCCTTTAAGCATAAATTTTCCAAACACAGACTCAGGTCAGCATTTTGTATATAAGCGTGGACATTTAAAATAAATTTTGAAGCACAACATCTGCACTATAAACGTGGATTTTTTAAATAAATTGTGAAGCCTAAAATCAGGTCTAACTTTGGCTTTTTTTTAATAAAATTTGAAGCCCAACATCAGCTCTATAAGCGTGGATTTTTTAAATAAATTTTGAAGCCCAACAACATGTCCATAAGCGTGGATTTTTTAATTAATTTTGAAGCCCAACATCAGTCTATGAGCTTAGCTTTCTTAAATAAATTTTAAAGCCCAAGATCAGATCTATAACCTTGGTTTTTAAAATAAATTTTGAAGTCCAAAGTCAGGTCCATAATCGTCATTCTTTAAATTAATTTTGAAGTCCAAATTTACATAAGTGTGTAAGTCTAAATTCAGGATTTTTTAATTAATTTTGAAGCCCAACATCAATAAATGTGTGTAAGCCTATTAGCGTTAATCTTTACATACATTTTGTACTGTTAAAGCCCAAAAAGGTCAGGTCTATAATCGTGGCTTTTTTAAATGAATTTTGAAGTCCAAAGGCAGATTCTTTAAATAAATTTTGAAGCCTATTTTTATAACATAATCAGGAACCGATAACCATACCTTTAAGCAAATATTTTCGAAATAAAATTAGAATCCTATAATAACACTTAAAATTGTATACGTTTAAACTAATATTAGAAACCTATAAACAGACCTATCGCAAAGTTGCTTTAAATAAAATTAGGAACCTATAACAGGTCTATACTCGGATATCACCGTTGTATTTTTTATTTTTTCTTAGGAGGAACTTTTCTCCTTCATTTCCCTACAATTTCCCATAACAACGATTATAAACCAACGCAAATAAACAATTTCCACTGAATATTCATGTATATCCCTTGGCAGAGTGCATCTGTATCTTTAGTCGCCGAAGATAACAACTTTAACCTCACCTCACCTCCAACAAAGTATGACCGCGCTGCGGAGCCTCACAAGAGTCAATCGCTTGACTCCACGTTGCATTTAGTCGTGTCTAAACGAAAAAAGAAAGCCCAAGCCGCCGTTGCACACAAAAATAAAAAACATGAAATAATACATCAAAAGAACAGCAATTAATGATACTTGAATTAATTAAATGTTTACTCCTTAAATAAAACGTTGCCATTTAAGATGGTCGGTCGGATGGTTGCTTGGGTTGGCTGGCCACTTTACTGCAACACCAACACCTCTTTTTCAAATGCAGAGAGAAAGAGAATATAAATATTGGGTTTAGGTGATGGAAATGGGAATTTTTTTTTTTGAAAATAGGAGAAAAAAGGTAGGCACTGGATGGTGTTTGGAATGTGTTAAAATTAGTACAGGGCTTCGCAATAAGAGGTGTCATTTCGATATTCAGAAAAAATAGATTTTTTCAGATAAATGATCGAATGTTGATTTCATAATAAAAAGCTGAAAAACAATATCAGGCAAACGGCCCCCTTGAGTCCACTTGCAGGACCAAATCTTTATTTACTAAATTTGAGAGTCCCAAATTAAAAGATCTGAAGGAGCATAAATAAATAAAATTTCCCATAAAATGGTATTGGTTTCCTTGGTACGTAGCGCTATCTCTTTGAAAGTTATATCAGATCAATACCATCTAACTCTGATCATAAAAATCATTAATCCTCTCTCGGTAGTGCAATCAAATCTTCGGTTCTCGGAGTCCCATATGCAACAATTGGCGTAGCCACCGAGGATCTTATCAGTCAATATATTTGTCGATGAAATTCCGAATGATTTTAAAGCATTTCAATGAGCCAATTTGTTAAATGAATTATAAAAGGCACCAAGTCTTTCTGCAGATTTTTCAGTTGTTATTGAACATAAACCATAACTAGACGTGTACGGGTTTCATTCCTTACATCACTAAAATGTCCTAACAGCTCGGAGTGTTTCATCAATTTCTGAATTGCCTTACGACGACCTAAATCTATGTCTCCAAGAATTTCCATCTTACAAACTCAGGCTTATGGCGAATGAGTGTACACTAAATAAAAGTGTCACATCAAAATATATATTTAGAAGTCAAAGTTTTTTTTTTTTTTCTTTGGACAAGATCTTTTGCATTCGATTTGTAGTCGATTTTTAAAGGTCCGACTGTAGAGATGGTACGTACAATAACTCGTGAAGGGAGTGACCGATTTTATTCAATATGTTATTCAATTTAAATCAAGTTTGACGTTGGGGTATATCGTTTCACTCCTTCTGATACCTCCAAATACTTAGCTGGATCGACACAGAACATTTGTTCCACAAGACGAACTTAAAAAAAGATTTCAGGGCTCGTCGATCTTGTGCGCAGTTTGAAATTCTGTGCTTTGATATGTCGTCCTTCCTTCTGCAAAAACCATAACTAGGCTCGCTTTTATATGCCTCTTAACCTGGGATATCCTCATGTCATGTTGATATGTCATCCTCCCTTCTGAATAAACCATCGCTGCAGCTTAATACATCTGACTATATCGATGTCCGAGGATAACTGGCATAGCTCGTAATTCATTCGACGTCAATATTGATCAGAATTTTTCTCTAAAACACTCCAAGTACTGTCCCACCTGCTTCCGCAAATACCCACGCTTTTGATCCATACACCAGCACGGGTAATATCAGCGTCTTGTAGAGTTTGATTTTGGTTTGACGAGAAGTAGCCTGGTTTCTAAAGAGATTACCAAATATCTAAATTGGCCAAAAGTATCCTTCTCCGAATTTCAAGGCTAAAGTTTTTTTTTATTTACCGAGGTAGTCAGGGATTTCTGACTGTCACAAATTTACAATTTGATACACTTTTTAATTTACACAGTTGGTTGATACCTTCCGGGATTATGTCCGGAGATGGAATCGATAGGCACGCTCCTCCTAGTGTTCAAATTTTTAAAATTTGTAAATTCCAAATGGAGTATTTGTCTTGATTCATTAATTGATCATGGCAATATTTTTAAACAAACCTACATTAAATCCGATGATGCGGGATTTGGCCCACTTCATCTAGTACCTCCCTACAATGATCAACTCTTTGATAAATACTTATGTTATGTTAAGCTAATTGTGAATCCTGCGAGGTCTAAACTTTAAGAAAAAGAAATCCATTATTTGTATATGAACTATACGACAAAATTCGCTTCGGAATGTCCAATTTGGTCCAAATATGAACCGTTTTGTCTTATTTTCAAAATACTAAAATTGAAAAGCTTGTATCGCCACTAAATATCTCCTCTTAGTATACCGATCGTCATATCTCTACTATATAAGTCAATCTAGCCATACGTGTCTATCCGCTTTTCTGTAAATTGTAATCAATGTACAGGAACGACACCTACAATTGTTTGGTAATAATCGGTTAATTTTTAAAAGGTGGAAACGACTGACAATTTGATTTGTTTTCTGGTCGCATGGAGAAAAAGATCCGGATGGGAACTATGCATGGATTGCCACTTAGTTAATTTTTGAGCGAAGTCAATAATCTCAGTTCAGAGTCCGATATGTACTTATTCTAATACCAGTTTCAGTGAACTGAAATCTCGCCAGATGTCAAATTAAGTCAAATCTCAAAAAAAGTCTTCTTATACAGCAGTCAAAATTATTCTTGTTCATATACCAGTCGTTTGAAAATTGTCAAAATTTGAAATCGAGTTTTGGATGATCTCCTTAATCCAGGCAGAGTAACATGTAAGTAAACCTATCGCCCTGTACGACGACTTACGTTTAACAGTCTTTACATATTCTACATTCAGGTCCTGGAGGTGTGTATGGACATTTTATTCTGTCTTAAGCAGTCACTGAACTCTTGGTAGGCCTACCACCATTTTTTCTCTTCTAAAGAACGTCTGGCAGCAATCTTAAAAAGTAATGCTTTGTTGTTTGTATCCTTCCGGAGAATTTATTTTCTTTACTGTAACAAACAAAAGAACAACAACTTATATTTGTTCTCTTCATATGAATAACTCATTTTTTGTTGTATTCAATTATCACCACCACGTCATCTGGATGTACGTATGTGTTTATGTAACAATGAATGCAGTTAGGTGTCTGTCGGCTAGACTTTACTGCGATTTAAGTAATTCTCTAAACATTTTACTTCCACATGAGACTAATACCACCACTGCAATTTAACATAAACACATTCATATTTTTGATATGAAAAATAAAATAAAAAAGGTCAGCTGCGGCGCATGTCTGTCCAACGCTACACTTTGTTAACTGCCAAGTAATTTAGTTGACTTCCTATGTTGCTTTGATTTGCGTTACTTGTTGTTGTTGTTTTTTGTTCTTTAAACGAGGACTTGATGCAAGTCTTCCGCTGTTTACACCATTCTAGTTCTTTCTTCTACGTCTGATGTTATAAAATAGAATTTCCGTTAACCGCATTGAAGACACACCGGAGACTCTGGGAGCAGTCAGCAAGTCATGAGGCATTTACTGGCTGTTGTGTTGTTTAGTATGTTTTTGTTGTTGGTGTTGTCAAAACCTAAAATATGAACTGCAGGGAAACACCACTACGATATACATACACGTGACGCCTTCTTGGCTGGCTAGCATGGTGACTAGGCCACCATCTTCCATGGTGGCATGGGCTGGGATATTAAGCTGTTACTGTAAAATATGCTGTTATCCTTCATTCATAACGTGCCATGCGTGATTATAAGCCTGTATGGGCTATACGTACATATATGATATGATTTGGATACTAACTGCAGGTAGGGAACGATGTTGTGTTTTAGCCATGTATTATAACGTGCTGCCAATACAAA